TAGATAAAAATCGACAGAATCATATGTTTCCCATTTTTATAAATTTGGGTTCAATTTTCAGTCCTTGATCGATCAAACTGAGAGTATAAATTTCATCTTGGTATTGATATATCCCTCGATGTATCCCTCTCGATGGGATAAATAAAGAGAGATGGCATCTTAATTTTGAGTTGATTTGTTCAATCATTTATTAAGGATTATTAGGTTAAAAAGGGGATTTCTTGTTTTGTATTGAAATCGAAGTTCATCAATAAAAATTGGCAAAATCGCAACGTGAAACATGTTTTTATACATGTTCTCGATGTCTAACGTTACATTTTTTCGAACCTAAGTTCAGTCTGTGATCAATCGAACTGCGAATATAAATTTCATTTTGATAGTCTCCCGTCGGAAAATAAAGAGAGAGAAAATCGATTGTAATTTTCGAGTGTTTGTTGAATCGGTGTTTACTAGCGATTATTAGGTTAAAAAAAAAAAAAAAAAAAAAAAAACGGATTTCTCGATTTATATTGAAACGAAGAATCATCGATAAAAATGAATAAAATCACAATGAGTATCATCTCATCTCAATGTTCATATTCACTTTCCCGAATTGTGAAGAATTCATGAAAAAAAAAAAAAAAAGAAAAAATCATAATCTATGATTAATGAATTAAACTGCAAACATGCCTCTTAAGTATCGCGCTTTTAAATATTTTGCTTTCAACGTTTGATACATTCTCGCGTCTAATTTCAATTAGGACCGATTGAACTCGTTCGTATCGATAGCTAGAGGATCGAGGATCGATTCGCGAATGTTTTTTGGTAACCGTGGATCAGCCGATCCCCCATTGTTAATTTTAAATGCACGTCCAGTTATCGTTCAAGCATCGTTCAGCGTCGCTGAACAAGCGGAAATGACAGATTCCGTATGAAATTTAGAAATTTTCAGCTTCAAAATTCTAAGTGGCTACGATATCGTGACACTTCGATCTTTTAATGATTCGAAAAAGAAGTTTCACCTGATATGACGATGAAAGGAATTAAGACACTGATTTTGCAGGATCTTCCACACGTTTTGCCCCCTAAAAATCTCCAGGTAGCTACTAAATCGATCGATTATCTCGAATTTAACAGTTCAGACTTTGAATTAACAGTTTAGCATTTTGAATATATCTTCTCTGCATCTTCACATATCAGTATTCTAATATTCTACAAATAAATCCTATGATCGTTTATTTAATCTCTTCGAATTAAGTTTAATTATCTAAATTATTATTATTAACTACTCGATTTCTTCAAATTAAATAAACTCAAGTATTAGGGTTATGGCATGAGTAATGTTCGTTCCTTTTTTTCAGATTTAATAAAATTGTCATCTAGTGACAATAATTTAACTTATTATAACATAACCTACATTCTAGTTAATTATATCGATATTTAGCTTATCGTTAAATTATATCGCAGATTAAAACTCGGTATTAACTCGGTTGAATAAAATAAAATTTTCGTAGTAATTCGAAACGACCTGAAACTAATCTGAAATCTCGCCTTCCCAAAAGAGAAAGAGATGCCTCGTTTCGAATCCACTGCAAATGCACACAACCGCCTGCCCCCGTCGATTCTGGACTTTCTTCGACTTCTCCTGCAAAGCAGAGTGCCGCAGCAACGAGAAGCAGTGTCCCGAATCCAAGGACATCGTCTCGTCCTCGTTGCTGCCCAACTCGGATCTCGATGACGTGTCATCGAAATCTCTGTCACCGAACACGATCGTTACAACGACCACGGCATGTTCTCCAAGATACAGCAACGAGTGCGATTTGAAATCGAGGGTTCGCAGGCCGCTGAAAGAAGAGAGCTTGATCTCTCTGCTGGATGGACATCGCGTGCCGAAGATGCTGAAGTGGAAGCTGAAGGGATACAAAACGCTTCGGAACGAGCATGCCATCGACTTTGCTTTCGTCCCTGGTGGAAAGTCCCACGAGTTGGACATTCTGCCGCGAAACGGAGTGACGGATAATCTCGACGACACGGTGGAACGACAGGGGAATCTTACTATTCGCAAGCAGACTGGTAAAAAGGACACGTTGCGCTTGACGGCGAAAGCTATAGAGAACAAAGTTGAGACAGAGGCCAAAGTTATCGAGAAGAACGATGGCTTGAAAGATGAGAGTGATATGGATAAATCGAGGAACGTCTCTAATCAGAAGTTACTTCTAAGCTCTAGCGTCGGGAATGAAGGTGTCAAGTACCTTCCAATATTGAAGTCGGGATTGAAATGTCAGACTCAACCAGCGGCTCGATTTTCCTCTCGGCCGCCAAAGAAAGTCCGGAAACCTAGCGCGCCGATATTGAAGCGAACAGATTGTAAAATGCACGATAGCGAGAAAGAACTTCCTTCGATGGAGTTCGACGAGGAGAGGGATGTTCTCGAGGCCTCGTCTCTCTCTAAACCGTTGGTTCCGAAATTCTCTGAACTTGCCGGCAAATGGTCCTCTACAGAGAGCCAAAGGAATCAAGGATATCCGGCGAAGACGGAAGAAACGAAGAGAGACTGCAAGAGTGATTGCAACAGTTTGGAATCCTCTCCGGGAAATGAGCCAAACGCGGTCGAAACGACACGCTCGAGGAATGCTTCGAGTAAAGTTGCTGATGAGAAACGATTCGAACCGCGATCGCCCGCGTACTTCGCCCCGAGAGCTTCTAAACAGAAGCCGAGATTATCGACTACCGATGCTGTGACTTTCGAGTCGATAATTGGAATCCCAGAGAGAACGACGCCGCGGTTGAACATAACCAGGCCAGGCGAGGGTCGCGTTGCAAGTTCACCCTGCGCGGCGACGCGAGCGAGACTGCGAACGAAACAGAACGGGAACAGGAGCGCCTCGAGTTCGCAGATGAATTCTTTCGGCAATGGTAAATCGCAATCTGTGCCTGGCAACTCCGACGGAGGTTCGCGGAAACCGCCAGCCTCGTTCCCGCCGGTCACTTCCGGCAAACGATCTTCCTCCAACTGTTCTTGTTGTTTGCTGGGGGAAACGACGATCTCGAAGGGAGCCAGCAACGCACCGAACCGTGTGTTGAACTCGAGGAACTCGTCCTTGAACATCTCGACTTCCAGCGTGAGTCCAGCGAGAAAGTGTCGCGATGACAGTGACGAATGTACGAGAGCAAGAAGAAAGAGTTGCGAACAAGAGAGGCCGTGCAAGAAGGATAGGAAAACTTGCAAGCGATATTGCTGTCCTGCGTTGCAAACGCCAACCAAGTGCGATTACGATACGTTCCAGTGTCCTGAGGACACGTGTGGCCAATCGGTACAATCGCACAAAGCGAAGAGAGATCCCACGTGTTTGCCGAACGACGAGTGCAAGGATCAGGGAAGAGAGTTTTGCGCGACTCCGAGGAAACGCGAGGACTGCAATCGGAGTTGCAGGAGGGAGAGGTCCAGACCGTGTTCAGAAAGGTGCATATTTTCAGATTTTCATTATTTACTTAAGACTGAAAGTGATGCTTTAGTCTTTTCTTTTTTTTTTTTTTTTTTTTAAGTGCAGTGGAATTCGTTTTTTAAGTTACAGTAGAATTTTAATCAATGTCTGATCAATCTTTCTGAAATTTTCCTTCACAATGAATATGTCAATGAAATCTTAATCTTTTCGAAATTTTCTTTCAGAATAAATAAATAATGATAAATGTTATGAATTACAGTAGAATTTTAATCAATCTTTCTGAAATTTCCTTTCAGAATAAATAAATAATGATAAATGTTATGA